GTTCACATTGCTGACTTATACTCCAAAATCAACCCTGGAAGGGAGAAGGGGAAAAAAACATTATCAACATCCAACAAAATCTAAACAACAAAATGTGAGAAAACCCTGAGGAGATTGCAGACTGTTAAATCCCATGTGTGTCTGGAGTAAGGGGAGTGGAGGACAACAGGGCAGTTGGGGAGGTCTGGAGCCTGCACAGACGGCAGATGACAGGATGGGTAAGCGAAAATGTTTGAACTTCTAGCTCTGCTTCATTGCACAACCTGAAGTAGCACCTCGCACCACAGATGCCAGTAGCCCTGGGGTAATGTCAGGACATCAGGAAATATAGGATTGGCTTAGGAAGTATGACTCTGGAGTCAGTGCTAATGACCACCTGAAGCCACCTTAGAGACGATTGGCCTTTTTGAAAAATTATTTTAATAGAAAGTAAAGAATGGATTAAAAATATAATATTTAGAATAGCGAGTGAACCACACATAGTAAGGGTAGGTATTCTTTCGTGAAATTATATATTTTAAACATATACCTGGTAGGCACGTAAGTTTTTTTTTTTTTTTTTTACTAGGAATGAAGATTAAAAAAAGAAAATCACTGCATTAGACAACGCAGTGTTACATAACTTCAAAACTGCGGGACCTCCCCAAATCCCGATGCTCAGCCTCTTCATTATAAAAAGCAAATCTTTTAGGACAAAAGGTTTCAAAGTCTACATGTGGGTGGGGAAGAGCCCTGCGGGAAGGTGCCCATCTTGTCCCACAGGCCACTACAATCCCGGGCGCTGCAGCCCCCACCCGGCATCCAACCTGGGACCCACAGACGTTCTCCGCAAGGGTTGCAGCCGAGCCCACGCTCAGGGGTGGCAGGGACAGGCACCTCCCACCGAGCACTTAATCAAAGAGCCTGGAACCACGATGAGGACCCTCAGGAGTGAGGACAGAAGGTCCACACACCCCACAGAGAGGCCCACGGGGTCCTGCTCAGCCTCTGCTGGTAGCCCTGGGACACTCGGCATGTTGTCCGCCTGACCACTACCCTACCCCCACGGCCACCTCAGGGGACTCTGGGAGTCAGAGCCTGGTCAGACCCGAGGCCCTTTCAGGTCCAGAGAGGGAGGGGCCCGGGCTCTGCCAGGCAGCAGGGGCGGGACCCCAAGGGAGACTGAAGCCTCCCACCACCAATTGCGTTCCACCCCTGCTGTCAGCCCTGGGAAGCCCCGGATGTGGGGGGCCCAGTCCACCGATTTGCATCTGGGGTGCTGACAGAGGTGAGGGCCTTGGTCTGAGGCCCTCACTTCATATCAGCGGAGGGAAGAAGGCCCAGGTTCTGTTAGGAGTGAGGTGAGATGACGATGGAGGACTGAAGAGGCCCCCACCCCAGGTAGAGGGTCCCCAAATAATCCAGCTCGGCCCCTGCTGTCAGCCGTGAACCACGCCGCCACAGACGTGTCAGGCTGAGCCCCTC